GAAAACAAGTCAATAGGTGCTGATGTCAACTGGGGTGTGAGGTTCAAGGATCTGAAAGATGTTAGTGCTTTTTAATCCATACTTACAATTGCTTCCTACTTTCCTTTATCTGAAATTTTGAGTTCCTCACAGTATTTGATGCTTTATACTGCAGGCTCAACATTTCTTAAAGAAGCTCTGTGATGAGGTTTCATTGCGTTTGAAGGGATGTGGCGTTAAGGGCCGCACTTTTACCATTAAGGTTCATCCGTTGTCTTCATTTCTACCATCTCTTTAGGCCTTTAGGGTTGGGAACTATCTTGAATCTGATGTTCCAATCTGATGCATACACATATGACACACCTCTAACATTGCTTAGCTTCACTCTTGTTTTCTATTAAATAATTTAACGGGCTTCTTATTCCTCTGGTGTAATTTATTGTGCAGATAAAGAAGAGGAAGATTGATGCTGGGGAGCCTGCAAAATATTTGGGTTGCGGAATCTGTGACAACTTGAGTCACTCTACAACGGTTTGAGTCTCTTTGTTGCTGTACTGAACAAAATGTCTGTTGGGTTCTATGCCTACTAAAATTTCCTTTTATTTTTTTACTGAATTTTTCAAACTAGGTGGCAATGGCTACAGATGATGTCGATGTGCTTTATAGGATAGCTTCTCAGCTCTTTGGACATTTTCAAATAGGTAACCAGATTTGATTATTACTCCATCCGCATCACTTTTTGTTGCTGTTTACCTTCTTGTCTGTCTCCGACTAATTTTTTCGCTCACCAAAATTAGTAACATTAATGTGGCTCAGAATCCTCACATTGATTCTTGTATTTTTTTTACTTTTTAACTTCAATATCAGCCTCACAATTCCCTCTTCCCAAAAATAGCGGAAGGAGGTAGTAATATTTTATAAAAGATGCACACAACCCTAGCTCTTCTGGTCATTGCATGCAAGTAGTGGTTGTCTATCTCGAGTAGTTCTAGTCCCTTCATTTTCATTACTAGGGTATATTTTTTATGGGCTCTATCTTAATTATATGTATCAATCTAATTCTCCTTTCTTTCAATTTAGTTGTTTTGTTTGTTTCTATACATATGTAGAGGATATAAGAGGAATGAGCTTGCAAGTTACAAAACTAGGACTTGCACAGTTTGTTGACTGCTAAAACTTATGTTATGTTATTGCTGTGCGAAATTGATTACTTTATCCATCCTAAATTGATCTTCTCATGTGAAATTAACACGGATATTAAGAGTGAAACTAAATTGATTTAAATGCTCCTACCTACTT